ATAACAGTTGCCTGTAAATTCTTTTCCATCGGTGGAGATGTACAGAATCCAGTAAAAGTCAATGTATTCTTCTGAAAATGCATTTCAGTTGACAAGGTTGACATCTCTGTACTTCACTTTGGAGCAATGTATAAATCTGCCGATGTTGGCACAAATTGGTGAATCCAACTGTTAATTTGTAATCTTCCTAAAGCCCTCTTCCTTTTTATGTGAATCAATTTAACCCCCTAATCTTCTGTATGAATCATTGGTTTCCTCATTGTATCTGGCTCTCTGGTACTTTTTTGAATATCAGAGAAGGTTGTAAATGATCCAAATGTCTAACTCTCGTACCTTGAAGTTGTTCTAGACGTATGTTGATGACGTGCTTTGCTGATAATTATTATCAATGACCAGAGTTCTAAAGGTATCTCATGGTTATTAGCTGTTTTTTCTCGTCATCAGAAAAGAAAATAGCAATTTGCCCCTTCGAAGTATTATGATTAACTGAACTTTTTGTTCTATTTTTCTCTTTATTTTTGGCAGATATTATCTTTGCAGGGTTTGTATGAGGTAACTTGTGGTGATTGCAAACATAAATCATGTCCATGGATCTTTCTCTGCCTGTTCGGTGCACTATTATGATATTATCTGGTAAACTGGAATTGTTAGGGGCTCACTGAGGAAAACACGGCACCTAGGTAGGTAGAATAGTTTTCATTATGGAACTGGTGACTCTTTCTCCAACTTAAAGAAGTTTTTTAACAGTCCCCTGTGAAATTTCTGTATTACAGTGATCGGAAAAGGAAGCAGCATATTCCATCAGGAAAGCAGTTAATAATGGTAAAAGAGATGTAACCTCTTAACTTAAATTTTACTTTTTCCGTCCTTCATCCTCTTTCCTTTGATAGTGCAGTTTAGCTTTTCCATGTATTGCCATGTATATCTGTTTCTCCCAAAAATAGAATTGAATTTCAAGAAAGAACGTACTTGTGTTTAAGTCATGGAGAAGATTTCTGCCTTGTAGGTAGCTACTTGTGTAATTGTACCTTTCTCTCTCTCAAACAAACCCGAAAACTAGTTCCGCATGATTTATGTTCAGCAGTTTTATTTTGTAGGCTACAGGATTACCACAATTGTCATCCAAGAAGCTCCAGAATATTGGCGAATCTCGTCCCTAGGTCCCAAGGTGGCACATATCTGTGGCAACAAGATCATCTCTGAAGAGAATAACTTGTGCAAATAGGATGTCATTGCTTTTTTGGGTGCAGTAAGACATCTTACAATCTGTGCAACTTACTTATAGGAAGTTAGAGCTCTCTAGTGATCCGTGAAACATCTGAAGTTTTAATTTACTAAGAGCATGTTTGGCCAATCTTGTGGGACGCCAAAAGTACTTTTCTTTTGTCAAAAAAAAAAATACTTTTTGAAAAATTTAAGGTGTTTGGCCAAAATGAAAAAGTACTTTTGAGCAGCAACAGATGCATTTTTTCTGCTTTTAGGGAGAAGCTATAAATTTTAGCTTCTTCCAAGAAGCAGAAGCGGAAAATTAATTTGTTCAAGACAAAATACTCTTACAGTACATTCATATTTTTCAAATTACCCCTCAGTAATTTAACATTTTTCTTTTCTTTTCCTTTTTCTTTTTATTTCTACTATACATTTCTTCTCTTTTATTTTAGTCATATTTTTATTCTCTTTCTCCTATTCCTAAGAGTAGATTTTAAATTTATATTGAATGATGTATTTTGACATATTTAAATTATCATGTAAACAATAAGTACTACCAAACACTCAAATGTTAATGCTTTGGAATAACTATATTTTATATTGACTGGAATTTTTAATTTATATTATTTTATGTTGTATATTTTAATTGAATTCTTTTATAACAAATGTTTAAATTTATTTCAGTCATCCAACGATCCTGATCTATTTAATTGAATTCTTTTATAACAAATGTTTAAATTTATTTCAGCCATCCAACGATCCTGATCTATTTGAAAATTGCTAGAATTGATATATCCATATATTATATTTCTGCAGGCAAATAATGCTAATCACAAATTGAACCTTTACTGCCCTTTTTTGTAATTTGATACTTAAAAGTGTTTTTTTAAAAGATCGGTCAAACACAATGAGCTTGCAAATTCAAACGAATTGACCAAACACAAACTGCAATTTTGCAAAAGTACTTTTTCCAAAAATACTTTTGAACAAAAGCACTTTTCAAAATACGTAGTTTTTGGCAGCTTGGCCAAACGGACTCCAAGTGAGATGTACCATGATGCACTAACGTTGAAGTAGTCAACCTTGTAATTTGACACTAAACCAGAGGATGTTTAACCTAGTAACCCATTGTCCTAGATGAGAATCGGATTTGGCAGGAAGATGTAAGCTCTAACAAGTCTCTGATCCAATGTAGAAATTTCTGTCTTGACCTAATAAAGGAATACTTTTGTGAATTCATAATCAGAGGATTTATTGATGCCACTAGCTGATCCTTGAATCTTTTGAAAAAGATGGCCAGAGAGTTGCTTCTCATCAACAACAAAATAATATAAATAGTTATTCAGGGAGTTACAATAAGAACCGTATGATATTTCGTGATGAGGAGCCTCTAGATCACGGCACTGTTATTAGCAGCATGCTCTTCTTTGAAAGATCTATGGAGAAAAATCTGTTATTATAGAATACAGTGTTTTCGTTTCAATGGAAGGAACAATAGTTATTCTAGTCGTTTATTCAATGATTAGTAGTAGTGAGAAAGTAAATTTCCTTTTATTTTTGGCCATGTTGGGATTTATGCTATAACAAATTTTGATATCCTTTAATGGGGTTTAAACAATTTTCTATTTGTGTTTAGGTATTGAATGGTGTTGACTTTGATATGATTTGGGAACACTGCTTTTTGTATGATTTGGTTGTTGGATTAACCTTCTGGTAATCCCCTCCAGGGTATGCTGAATTTGCCAAATGTAGCACCTTACGATGTTCGTGGCCAACTAGATCCAGACATACCAGTAGGTACCAGAGATCGCTTCAATATATTCTGTTTTCTTGAATTTATGAATGTTGAGTTTACATCCTCCTCCTCAGAGTGATACAATTAGACTTAGTTTACAAATACTTGCCCAACCTCTAAATTCATGTCAGTCTCTTTACTCGTTTGGTGTCTATTGCTTTTTTTGATAAATAATGCTTATTTTTCTTTTTGGTGAAACTTTGGTTATTAATGTAAGGTATACTTCCTTCAATGGTTCAGCCTGCCTTGATTTAATTTCTTTGACTAGCCGTTTGTAAATTCATGTAGAGTCCTATCATATGAATGATTGCTTGATAGTAAAGGCAGCCCGGTGCACTAAGCTCCTGCTATGTGCGGGGTCAGGGGAAGGGTCGGACCACAAAGGTCTATTGTACGCAATCTTCCCCTGCATTTCTGCAAGAGCCTGTTTTTACTGCTCGAACCCGTGACACATTTGCTAGGCTAATGCATCTAGCTTCTTGGCGTTAGTTATTGTCATATTTTATGTGTGCAATTTCAGTGTTGCGAGGTGTATGTGTGTGTCTGTCGGTGTGTCTGGAGAAAACCTTAGCTGATAGTTTGCGAGTTTCTGGTCCTGGTTTTTGAGTGAAGTGTCAAAGAGGCTCCAGAACACCACGAGTTTGAATGTATATTGTTAGTGGTTTGCTAGAAGTAAGAATAAAGACATCAGTCACTCAACTTCACTTTTACCAAATTAGTTATATGAATCCTACGTATCCCTATTTGGAGGTTTCATCAAGTTTAAATCTCAACTTGTTTGGGACTAAAGTGTAGTTGTTATATCAGATTTAGACTATTTTTGCCTGAACCATCAACATACTGCCAGGGGCGAAGCTATGTGTGGCGAAGGATAGTCAACTGAACACAACAACAACAACATACCCAGTAAAATCTCACTAGTGGGGTCTGGGGAGAGTAGAGTGTACGCAGACCTTACCCCTACCCCGAAAAGGACAGAGAGGTTGTTTCCAGGAGATTCTCGGCTCAACAGGAGAGGCAATAATATCAGAAAAGAAACAAGAGAAAAGACAAGTAACAACAAAAGATACCAAAAAGAAAATAACCACTACAAATAAGTGAAAGGACAATAACACAAAACTATGCAAAACAACAATGTGAATACAACAAAGACCGCTAACAAACCTAAACGAAATTCTATCAGACTACCCGGTACAAAGAGGGAAGAACTCAGATAGTCAACTGAGCACGCTTTGCCGAAATATATATTGTGTATAGGTAAAATATTACTTGTTCTTGATAAAGAAAATAGATTTTGAACACCATTGCATAGCCCACTAGCAAATGGTATTCAAAATTTGAACACCTTTATTAAATTTCTTGGCTTCGCCATTGCATACTGCAATTCCTTTATTTGATCTTGAGATTGATTATGCTTTGCGATCATTTTCCTTTATTCGATCTTGAGACTGATTATGCTTTGTCAGACTATCATTGATGGAGTTAAATGAGAAAGAGGAAAAAGAAAAAAGAAAAAAAAAACTGATTTTCACCAAAATCTTTAAAATGACTTCTTGTTTAGTCTCAATAGCGGATGAGTGGAAATTTTAACAGTTTGAAAAATCATCTCGAAGAGTTGAAATATGGAAAAATCTGCAGTAGCTTGTGATCTAGCTAATCAACAAAACAAATTGTGATCACTGACATTAGTACCTCTATACAGGATACCAGAAATTTCATTATCACAATTCACAACTAAGAGTTAAACATTTGCTAAGATAAGAAGGAAATCACATTTTGCTGTATTACAGGAGGATATACAGGAATATCAAATAACTCAAGGCGACCAATCAGGTCCACCAGGCTTCTTCAGTAATATCTGATTATACTCTGGTCTCGATGTCTGGAAGAAGAAAAACAAACAACATTAATCCAAATCGTCCTATTTATGTACAATGACAAGCACCAAAAGCATAACCAATGATCCCAAGAATCATTTCTAACAAAATTTCATAGTCAAGATTTGAATCTATGTAATGGACCAACAGCTTTTCATGATTGTAGAAAATACAACATCAAGAAATATGCATGGTGGATGTTCAACCTAAATCGATGTAATTACCGACCACAATCCTAATTATTAACACTTCCAAAGTTTTCCAAGGAAGTAACTTATAGGTATAACGAGACCATCTCATCTTTTTTCCGATAACCATTGTGTACGGCCTCCAGTTCCTGCACACTTCGACTATTAGATCAGGTACCTGCTATCTTTTACCAGCATAGGTACTGAGTAACTTCGTCTAACAAGGTTTCGACAGATGAGAAAAATCACTTTAGTGTATAATGAGACCATCTTCTAAAAGTCGTGGCTGGATCTGAATATCGAATACCGGGCATTGGAATGACAAGATTGTCCTTGCCTCAACAAATATTATCCTTCAGATTTATTTTAGTACCAGTGCTTCCCTACAACCAGCATTGATAGATTGAACTAACAACAGCTTGAAGATCGTTGACCGACTAATGAGAACTCCATCCAACATTCTCCTAACAACTACCTCTAGAGCCTTAAACTCAGTTACAATTTGAAAGGGGAAAAGAAACATGTAAAAGGAAAATCAAGAGCCTTTCTCAAGAAAATCCTTCAAAGACTCGTGCAATTAGTACATGTTTGGTTGACTCATGAACTCAAAATTTTCTTTTCTTTTCATTTATTTTACATATATTGTTGTTCTTCGACTTCATATTTGTAAATTACTTGAGAAAGGGTTAGGTAGCCGAGCTGTCCTTGTTTGTAACAATAGTTTTATTACATCACTTATTGTCTTTCATGTATTTTCCTATGCCTAGACTTCTGTTATTACTTGTTGTTACCTTTGTTTCGGTTTTCTGATTGCATTACCTAGTGTTAGTTTTGTATTTTCGCTTCGGTTGCCAGATTGGTTTGCTTATTATTATCCCTTCCCTTTATCTTTCCTGACCCGAGAGTCTACTGGAAACAACCTCTCTGCCTTCTTAAAGGTAGGGGCAAGGTCTGCGTACATTTTCCCCTCCCAAGACCCCACTTGTGGAACTACACTAGGTATGTTGTGGTTGTTACTTTCCTACCAAAAAGCAATGCAGCACTTATTGGCAGACAGGCTATATCATAAATAGATAATTTCAATAATCACATGTCTTTTTTTGTTTTTGGGGGATGAAAGGACAAATCAGAGACTTTTAAAAGTCTGTTCAAATTGAAAGAGAAAACGAAGAGCAGGAATATCAGTTGTCATCACTTTGAATGACAGTGAAGTATTCTTACAGTTAAAATTTGTTAATTAATTGTTAGATACATTAAAACACAATCCCCAAATCAAGAATGAAGCAACTAAAGAAAGATTGACCACCTTAAGTAGAGTGCAAGATGAAATGCTCTCAGACTACAGCTGGTTAATAGTCAGAACCATTAGGGAATAGGGAATTGTAAAACAAAGACTTATCAGTGTGAAATTAGGAAAATCTTTGAATTCTTGACTTTTTACAGTTCATACTTTGCATTTTGGGTCAATATAGGAAATTGCTTAAATTATTAGACTACAACAACAAGTCAACAACATCTAAGCCTTAATCCAAGCAAGTCAGAGTTGGCTATATGAATCCTCACTAATCATATCGCTCCATTTAAGCTCATTCCTAATAAATTGTTGGGCAACTACACAAATAGGTGAAAACCATGGGAGATCAAAGTTAAAATCAGATAAAAAAGACGTAAGGTGATTTCTTCCCATCTGACTAAACATTCTTGTGACCTATACGTCACAGGTTCGAGCTGTGGTATCAACTATTAACGCTTGCGTTAGAGTAGGCTGCCTATATCACACCAATTACGTTGCGGCCTTTCTCTGGGCCCTGCGTGAATGCGGGATACTTTGTGCACCGGGTTGCCGTGTCTAAACCTTCGTGGTCAGAGCTACCTAGTAGCTATACGGGTGGGAGGTGACGGTACTTGGTAAAATAGCCGAGGATGGTGGTTAGAGCTATCTAGTAGCTATACTGGTGGGAGGTAACGGTAGTCGGTAAAATAGTCGAGATTGGTGGTCAGAGCTGCCTAGTAGCTATACAGGTGGGAGGTAACCGTACTCGGTAAAATAGTCGAGGTGCGCACGAACTATCTCGAACCCTACTTCTAATGAAAAAGTTTTTAAAGGACAAAGCTTTATACATAAGCATTAAGCTCAAATATCTGCTACTATCCATTTGATTTCTCATGCAAACAAATACAGGTAGCGTTTTTTTTTTTTTAATATATATTATGATTGATTGAATTGCTGATATGGCTAAAAAGCAAATAAAGGGAACAACACAATGGTTACTAGTTTTATAGCAATATGCAATTAACAGGAAATTATGAAACAATTCAATCGAAGAGTAAAAAAAAACATTTTTTTAGAAAATGAAAATAACCTAATTTTTAGTAAATAAAGGGAAAGAAGAGAAGCTAACCAGATCTTTGAAGATTAGATATGCTACAAGGGCAAAGAGGACAAAGAGAATCTCAAACTCAGCGAATCGGACGAAAGAGAATACTGAGTTAACAGCCCGAGTCATAATCGAAGGCGACGATAACTGCTTTGCCATTGCAGCCTTTTTACAATTTGGAATTAAACAAATTGAAAATGAGACAATTGGAATTTTGAGTGTTCATTTATATTTCAATACTTGTTATAAATATATTATATTATGGATGTTCATTTAGTACTCCGTTATAAATAAGCTTCCTGAAGAAACTTATTCATATGGGACTCCACCGTAAATATGTTTATCTATTTAGTACTATATTGGAAATAAGCTTCCTGAAGAAGCTTATCACTTCGGTACCCGTTTATGGATAAACATTACCCCAGTAGAAGTTTATCCATACCGGATATAATAAGCTTATCTTTTCAGTACCCAGTTATGGATAAACATTATCCCGGTAGAAGTTTATCCATATCGGGTATAATAAGCTTATCTTTTTAGTACCCAGTTATGGATAAACATTACCCCCGGTAGAAGATTATCCATACCGGATATAATAAGCTTATCCATTCAGTACTCCGTTATGGATAAATATTGCTTTCAGTAGAAGATTATCCATATCTGGTACAGCAGCAGCTTACACAGCAGCTTGTAGCAGCTTACACAACAGCTTGTAGTAGCAGCTTACACAACAGCTTATAGTAGCTTACACAACAGCTTGTGTAGCAGCTTACACAGCAGCTTGTAGTAGCAGCTTACAGAGCAGCTTCCTTTCTTCTATAAATAAAAGAGATTTCAATTCATTATGTACATCAGTTTGAATTCGAATAAATATCAGTTTCTCTATACTTGTCTTTACTTTATAGTCTTTGTTTCATAACACGTTATCAGCACGAAGCTCTA